GCATAGGCTTAAATGTATATGGCAAATAACAATCAATATAAACTATTACAGATCATTAACACATTGAGAGATAACAGTGGTGGGAGAATATGGGCCAGAATAAACAGTTTAGAGGTGAAAGGTGAAGTCAGCTAGAAATTCAAGCCATGAGTGTGAGTTTTAAGCTTGATAATCCAGGAAAGTTCAGAAAGGCGGCGATGATGAGTGGAGTTGAAGTTAGAGTCGATAATGGTAACACGCAGATTGTTAATAGAGTGATGGGGAAAATTAAAATGTTGGGCTACGGTTTTGTCAGGGGCGTTTTTCCTAATGTCGTGTTTGTGTTGGTTAATGCGGAACCTAAGAGGGTTCATGGTTTCGCCAACGTAATTGCCTTTGTTACAAATAATACATGTTATTAAATAAATTATGTTGTGAGAATCGCATGTGAGGTTGGGAGGTTTTATGGAGTGGTTAGTGATACGAATGGTCTGATCGGTGATGAGGATTTTACAAATTTTGCATCGGGGCTTGTTGCATAGGTGGTTGCCTGTAGATCTGGGCATGGGGCTAGTTAAAAGTGAGGGGGGGAAAAGGATGGAACGGAGGTTGGGGGGCTTGCGTTGGGCTAGGAGAGGGGGGTCGGTAAAAAAGATGGTTAATGGAAAGATCCTGTTGGATGATAGGGAAATCCTTCCAAATAGAACCGGCAATGTGTTTGGTTGAGGGGGTGATATTCTAAGACAATGGGGATTCGATTACTGTTAGAGAGCTTCGGCTTGTACTGGAGGAGGTCTTTGCGGGGTTTAGAGTGGGCTTTCTGTATCTGATGCTTGATAATTTGAGGGGGTAGCCAGCAGTGAGAAATTTACAGGTAATAGCTTGAATATGGTGAGCATAGTCAATGGGGTCCGAGCAGATACGTTTTATTCTAAGGCATTGACTATATACAATAGAGGACTTCAGAGATTTAGGATGAGCGCTGGAGTAGTGAAGATAGGAATGACAGTCAGTGGGTTTAACATAAAGTGAAGAACTGATAGTGCAGTTAGAACATTTAACGAGGACATCAAGAAAGGGTATTTGGCAGACAGATAGTTCAACAGTGAACTTAATGGTATTGTGAAAGCTGTTAGCATGAGTGATAAAATCAGTGAGTGAGGCGTGGCCATGAGTCCATATGAAGAAAATATCATCAATGTAACGTGAGTAGTGAAGGGGCTTAAGAGGGAAGGATGATATGAGTTTGTGCTCGATGTTGGCCATGAAAATATTGGCGTATGAAGGAGCCATCTTAGTACCCATGGCCGTACCCTGAATCTGTAAACAGTGCTTACCATTGATTGTGAAATTGTTATGGGTTAGGATGAACTTGATGATTGATGATCAAGTCAACTCGGTCCCAAGTCAACTCGGCCCCAAGTAGTCAACTCGGCCCCAAGTTAACGAAATAATTGCCAAAAGAATATGAATGCAAAGCCAAACTATGCAAACATTAAAGTGTTTTAAATCTTGCCTTTGTTATCTTTTAATAAAATAATAATACAAACAGCATTAATAACAATAATAATTTTTAAAAAGGCATAACAAAAACTATTGATAATAACGATATGAACATACTGATTTATAGGCATATAAAGCTGGAAAAGGATAGTGTCTGCCACAGCTAACCCACCTTCAAGTAGGAGCAGCTAAAGAAGCTGCTCATATAGGAAAGCGTAGACTTGCCACAAGAATGAGAATTAATTTTCTTATCTTCCATTCTTTAGTCACTCATTTGAGGAAAGCCATTGTAATACACAGATATCACAGATCATTTGCCTATTTTCCATTTTATTGACAATGATTGTGACAAATTGAAAAACCAGGAATGCTCTTCTTTTGCTGCTAATGATATAAATTCTTTTATCATAATTATTCTTATGCGGACTGCTCCGATGTTTAAATAGTGACCCAAAATTCTCTTTTGAAATCTTTATTGACAGCTTTCTTACTATTCATAATAAACATTTAAACATTAAAATAATTTAAAAAAAAATCAAATTCACTAACAACCCTGGATGCGCTCCTCATTTCTGAAATGTAGCTAACGTAAACACAAATTATACAAAAAATATATTTTGTCACAAAGCTCTAAGCAAAAATTAAACTACACTAAATACAATATCATCTACAACAGTCTTTGTCGTACTGCCAAATCAAATTATTTTAAACGGAAATTTGATCAGGTAAAAGGAATCTTAAAAAGTACATGGAATATAATAAATTCAGTTATAAATCCAAGCAACAAAAAAATACGAACATTCGTATGTTCATGTATTATGTTCGGAGACCTTGAGATGATCTTGTATTTACTTATGTAACATAATAAAGACCTATCCTGGAATACGCTAGTTCACTCTGGCATTCTTTTATTACGAAGAAGCAGTGTACCCAGTTGGAGTTTATTCAGAAGAGGGCCTCCAAGATCATTCTGGGATACAACAACAACCACCTTTTTAACTTGTATTTTTCTTAATTTTTTCCCCCGAATTTTATTTTTACTGTTAAGTGCATTGAGGCTTTAGCATAATGCGCTATATAAGCCAAAATTATTATTATTATTATTATTATTATGGACGCACTGAACATACTCAACTTACCATCGCTACAAGCATGGCGGTCAGACTTAAATTTGGAAAGACCCTTGTGACATCCCAACGGATTGGGCTCATGAAAACCCCAAACCAGTGAGGAATCTACTAAACCATAGTAAATATAAAATTACCTCGGTGCAGAACCAACCGTTTATCCAACTCAAAACTGCCAAGTGCAATTCAGTAAGTAATTGTTAGGCCTATTGAAATAGTATATTTAAATTTTAATAGAATATACATAATATGAAAAAAATGATTTTTTTTAAAATCTCTACTAATTGTAAATATATATTTGAATAATCAATAAGAAATAACAATTTTCATGTATATAGATTTATAATAATTAATTAATGTATTTAAATTGGATTGAATAGAATTGATAGGCCTAAAGTGTGGTGTTTATAATGTGTGGTGCTTGATGTTTTATTTTATATATATTTTCATTTGTTCATATTGTAATTTCAAAAGTATTTCAACATTTGTTGCAGTTTTACTATTTTACCAAATAAATAAAAAATAAAAATTCAAGTTTTTAAAAATTGGTAACAATACAATTGACAATAATATCTATTTGTGACCACTTTAATGATTATTTTTCCTCCATAGGCCCAGATATTAATAATTCTTTACCAGTCTCAGATATTGATCCTTTAGAGTTCTTACCAGTGTCGCATATTAATTCATTTTTTATCAATCCCGTCACTAAATCTGAAGTATTATCAGTTGTTCATGAAATTGATTCTAATAAAGGTGCTAGGCATGACCACTTAACCCATAGGACCTTGTATCTCCAATCATAAAACAACTAACCTTTGCCATCAGCTCATCATTTTCATCCCGTACAGTTCCAACTACCTTAAAATTGGCCAAAGTTACTGTATCCCCGTGTTTAAAAAAGGCGACACTGATAAACTATTAAATTATAGACCTACATCCATACTACAAATCTTTTCTAAAATACTATAAAAACTTATGCATAAAAGACTTTTAACTATCTTAATCAATTTAATATCTTAAACGAACATCAATATGGGTTTCGCTGGAATCGCTCGACTCAAATCTGTTAACATTAAGAAACGATTTCAATTGAGCCTAATTTTAGATTTATCAAAAGCTTTTGATGTTGGTAACCACGAAATTCTAGTTTCTAGACTTTTCCTT